CTTGGAGCAGCTCAGACTTTAGATGAATCCTGGCTTGACTCCTAGCTGTGTGACCTTGAACTTGAGAACTCATCCCTCTGGGTTTGTGAAGTGGGAACCACAATGCCATCACACAGTGCTACACAGACATTCACTTGTGCCCTTTCTAATTCCCAAAGACAGAGACTAAACATTAAGATACTTTTTATTCAACAACAGCAAACCATTTGATGCAGGGTGAACCTGAGTTCTTCTTCCTCCTTTGTGGGTGGGAATCAGATTCACAGAAATTCGCCATACTGGCTTTTGTCTGCTTCCACTCAGTGGATCTTAGATGGCACATAGCCTGTGCAGTGTAGGGTGGGTGTACTTGATGGGGCTACCTAGTGACAGCAATTCCGTGGGGCCATCAGCAATCCTGCCATACCACAAATGCTAAGTGCTTCTGGCTCCCAGAGAAATGCCGCCGAAGGTGGTCTCCCCCTGGAAGCTGGCACTGGTTTAGTGTCTGCCATTAGACACACTGGGAGTGAGTCACCATGTCACCACTCACTAGCTTTGTCACTTTTCCTCCCTGAGCTTTCATTTCCTCATCTGCTACATGATGAAATAATACTGCTTCCTTCAGGAGATTGTTGTGAGGGTTAAATGAGAAAACACCTAAGAATGTAGCACAGTGCCCAGTACCTTTGAGGTGCTAGTGAATGGAACAGCACTGATCTATTCCCTCCTGGGACAGCTATCTAATTTGCCCTGAAGGAAGGACTAGCAAGAAAGAGCATCATTAGCTCCATTTCCAGTGAGAAAATGGAAGCCAAATGAAGCTCTGATCTGAACTCCATTCAGAAGACAAGTGTTCAACACAGAAGTGTGGGAGGCCCCTTCCAGAACACTCGCAGCAATAAGCCAGCTTGCCCACCTGCTGCAAAGTCGTCCATACTGTGCTAGCATGTCATGCTCACTTGGAGGAGATAGGCATGTGTCACAGGCAGGATGGTTGTGAGTTCTGAGGGGGTGCCCAGCCATAGTATCTGAGCTGGAGCTGTCCTGGCAGCCTCCGTGAACCTTGAAGGCCTCACAGAAGGGGGACGAGGGACCTCCCCGTACCACCTCCATCTTCCAATCTAGAGACTGAGGCTGTGCAGAGTGGGAGTCCCAGCTGCCCAGAGCCCATTGAGCTGCTCTCATTTGCAAGGCTGGTTGCCCAATTACCCTTCCTCTGGCTATTCTGACCCCTGACTAGCCAGGATATGTGTTATTTGTTTTGAGCTGGGGAACAAGCTCTCCTGGGGAGAGGAATTCAGAGCTGGAGATCCAGTCACTTCGAAGGGAGAAAAATCCTTGGAATTCTGTTGGGAATTTGGGTCTCGGCAAAGGGAACAGAAATGCGGTCCTTGTTTTTGGTCCTTATTTACCAAATTAGTTCAGGTTCTGGTAGCTGTTTGGCTGCCAGCATTATTTGAGCATGACATGGGAAAGCAATTAGATGGCCCTATGCATCTAGCAGATTGCCATTCCCCCATGGTACAGGGTCCGGGCAAATCTTGCCCTGCTAACCCCTTTCCAGGGATGATTTTTCTCCTCAGATCTAAGAGATGGGTGAGTAGGCTTAGTGGAATTCTCCTGCCTCATTAGGGGTGGGGAAGTGACACATGGTGAGTCAAGGGCCATGCTGGAAACAGCCCCCCTTCTCTTACTGGACAGAGAAGGTTGAGGGGAGCAGAAAATTCTGATTGCCCCACATCTTCAGGGAATGAAGTTGTGGGCTACTGGCAGGGAAGAAGGCATCTGGGAACACACACTGGAGGTCCTTTGGTGGGGACAGCAGTGGGTGGTTGAGAAGGTTCTACTTCAAATGCGGGGAGGGTCCAGGACTGAGGCAGGATGGTGTGGACTTAAACTCTTGGGCTCAGGTAGGAAATGAGTCAGATTGGAATTCTGCATCTGCTGTCTATCAGCTAGCTGTGCAATCTTGGGTAGCCAGTACCCATTCCTGGCCTCAGCATTTTCTGTATATGTGGAGATCATAATGCCACCTTTGGTTGGTTAAATGAGCCAATTAATGTAACATACAGTGATTGGGCCACTATTTAAGCTCCATAAATTTTGGCAGCTTCAAAAGAAAAAAAGAGAAACCCAAACTCAGGAGTTTATGGAAGAGGAGATTCTGCAGAGCGGCAGCGTGAGGTTCTAACAGTCACACAGAAGGGAGGCCTGGGCAGTACATGGGACAGGAGAGGGCGCTAGGATGAGGGGAGCAGACACCAGGCTTTGGAGGAGGTTATCAGAGCAGGAGAGCAGGGTGGGAATTCTCATGGGCCACTTGTGCTCCAGGAGGAGCAGGAGGGGCACTGGCTGGTGAGGGAAGTGTGTCTGTGTGAAGGCTCTGGCCAGGTGAGCAGTGAGTGAGAGGCTGAATGAGCGGCAGACTTCCAGAAGTGCAGACGGAGCAGACAGAGCGGTAATAATGACTTGGACACAGAGGAGGAAAAAACAGCTCAGGGACAGAGAGGATGCCAAGCTTTCTGCCTTGAGAGGCTCTTGGGGATCTGAGGTGAGCATTAAGGGATGAAGAGAAGATCTCTGAAGGAACAGGGTAGGTAGTGTGGAGGGGAAGGGAGCCTGGAACTGCAGGGAGGGACAGATACCAGCAAGGGAGGGTCAGCGCGGAGGTGAGACTTCCATAGCTGTGAAAAACAACCGAGCATTATGGAAACTGAAGTGACATTCATTCCAAAATGCAAGGAGAAGGGCTCACGGGGTTATTTAGGGTTAGCCCTAAAGATAGCAGGACACAAACAGGGACCAGTAGCTACCACCCGAAACTCAGTTTTTCTCTCTTCAAATGGATCTAATGATGCCAGACCTCCCTACTTGAGATTATCCTGTCCTTCATCCAGTTAGCTATCCACTGAATGTGTATTTCTCAGCTATTAGGATCAAGCTGTCTAATAGGATCAGCCTGTTTTAGGTTTTGGGGCAGCAGTGATGAGCAATGTATCAATGCATTTAAAGACATCATTGTGGCTTGGAAAGTCAGAGAGTAACTTTTATAAATGATTACATGAAACTTTTCCTGTAGTCTGAGCATCTCTGCAGAAACAGCAAAGACTAGAATAATGAGGACTAAATACTCTCACATTCTAAAGAGATGTACAGAATATCTTAGTAAGGGCAGGACGGATTCAACAATACCAACCCTTGGTTCCAGTTTACAGATGAAAATTAGGAAAGTGGCTGAGGTAGAGAATTGTAACTTTTGTAGACAGGACTGAGATTTCCCCTGAGGTACTCTTCAACACAAAGCAAGTGAAGAGGGCCCTGAGTAGACCTTCAAGAAGAGGAGGCTGGCATGACTTCTATTCTTGGATCTTAAATGTCCCCCAACATCTAATGTGTAGAAGGTTTGTTCCTCAGCTGATGGTGCTGTTGAGAGGTGGTGAAACTTTTAATGGATGGGGCCTAGTGGAAGGAAGGTAGGTCACAGGAGGGCACACCTTTGAAGAGGACAGTGGGACCCCAGACCCTCTTCTCTGTCTTATGTGCTTTCCGGATGCCATGAAGCAAAAAGCTTTGCTCTACCATACACTTCTTGTCATGAGCCTTATCACAGACTCAGAGGAATGGAGCCAAGTAACCATGGACTGAAACTTTTGAAGCCATGAGCCAAAATAAATCTCTCCTCCTTTTAATTTATCTCAAGTATTTTTTTTACAGTGACAGAAAGCTGACTAATATAACTTGCTACAGCAGTCCTTCTACAGATGCTAGATGAGTTGTTGGCAGCTGCAGGCACCCCAAGGGTAAAAAGCACAGTAAGAAAGTTCTTAGGCAAACCAAACCTTATGTCTTTATCAACTGAGGCTGTACACAAATGAAGAGACTTACGTGCACTTCCTGTCTGGAGAATTGTGACTATAGAGCCTGGCTGGTGTGGCCTCATGGCACCCAAGTCCTCATTGCTTGGCCTGGCATGGACTGGAATGTCTCCTGTAAGGTATGCAAAGATCTTCAAAAACTAAGCCAAAGAGTGCTTTCTATGGCAATGCAGAGAGGAAGCCCCACAAATGTGCCCATGAAAGTGCCCATGCTTGGCACTTGCCAGCCAAGGGCACCTGCTACATAAGACTTTGCTATTTTTCCCCCAATACTTCTTGCCCAACCTTGGCACAGAGGAGGCATGAAAGGAAAATCATAAAAGCAGACCTTACCTCACTCTCCCCTGTAGAGTAACCAGCCAAAGACAGCCTGTGGGGAGAAAGGAGCATTAAATTGGATGTGATATTAATTAAACTGGATGGGTTTTTGCCTTAAACAGCAGACTGTTTGATGCCCAAAAGTTGGTATTAATTATAGAAATGAAAGTGTTCATGTGTCTGCTAGAGGTGGGCAGGCCAAGGACTCTGCCTGAGATGTCACTGTGGGAAGGGAAGGGAAATTCAATATAATATGCTTGAAGGCAACCGTGGAGAAAATATGCTGCTTCTTGATTCAGAAGCACCCATTCAAGTGATCAGTTTCACAAGGAAGTAAGATAATTTAAACCTGCCCTTAGAGCAATGAAGATAAGGTAGGGTGGTGTGATAGCTTTGGGGTGAGACAACTGTTCTAGACTGGGCATGGGCAGGGACAGCCACTCCAGGAGATGGTGTTTGATCTGAGAGGTGAGGTAATGAGTAACCAGTCCTGTAGACATCTTGGAGATAAAAGTTCCAGGTAGAGGGAAGTGGTACTCATGTGACTCCATGAGCAGAGGACCCACGCAGCTGCCATGGGATGAGTGCCTGAACGAGAGGCGGGTCTAAGATCAGAGAGGGAGTCAGTCCTGTAAACCTCTGTAGGCTCAGGTAGAGGGTCGAGGATTTCTTCCAACATTAGGTGTTATCTGTGTCTGTTCTTTGTGTACTGTGGGAAGTGGTAAGCAGGGCTCATTCACTATGCCTCTTTAGGAAACAGTAGGCTGTGAAAAAGTGGTCAGGACATCCATATTCGCCCAGGCCTTTAGGTGTTGGGTAGAGGGCATGGATGAGAATGACGACCTAATTACTGGGGGTATTCAGAGGAGAGGTCATCAGCTCTTACACCTCATTCCGCTGCGGCCAACATGCGATGTGAGGTGAGTACACACATTGGATTAATCAGCTCATCGAATCCCCCTGGGGGGCGGGATTCCTGAGGGAATGAGGGGCTGAGTTGGGCGTCCAAGGAGTGGACGCTGAGCCAGAGGCTTGAAGCCTGGATTTCATCTTCTTTGGCACGGGTTGTCTCCTTGAGTGACTTTATTCAAGTATCTATGCCTCTGTGGAAAAGAAGACACCTTTTCTAGCAGCCGCCACCACCGCCCCAGACTGAGGCCGGGTCCTGATGCCTTGGGATAGAGAGTAAGCACAAGGAGCCAAGGCCACTGGCAGCGGCAGGTCTGCAGAACGCAGGTTGCCAAGGGCGCGGCCGGTTCCACTAGGGGGCGCCCCTTCCCGCACCCGGGCGACCTTCCAGCACTCGGCTGAGGCTGCCAGCTCTGGCT